CAACCAATGCTTGGCACTTTCACAGCTCATACTGTATGGGATAACCGACACCTAAGCTATGAAAGGAACTTGATTTGTTGTTAACATAAGTTATAATCATGAATGCTTGACGAGATTTACAAGTATTAGTATTAATCGAATAAGATAACTAATGTAATCATGTTAACAATCTATAATCTAATTGGAACCTTCTTTGTGTGTGGTTTCCAATTGAATAATAAGAGTTTATATTATACTTATTTGACATACCATTAGTGGAACCTCTAACCTTGACATTTGTTATTATCATTGTTTAATCCTTATGTTAATCTTTCATCTCAAAGTTCTCATCAACTTCTTCTTCCTCTTTATTACTACTACTACTACTACTACTGCAACAGCTACTATTACTACTACTATTATTACTATTATTACTATTATTATTATTATTATTGCTACTAATAATATTATTATTGCTACTAATAATATTATTATTGTTGTTGTTACTATTGTTATTGTTTATAATTGTTGTTTATAATTTATACAATTAACCTCCCTATGGTTCGACATCGGTCTTGCCGGGTTATTTATTACTTTGACACTCCTGTACTTGGAAGAAGATATCAATCTTTTGATCGTGTCAGTGCAGAATATAGCGGTTCCCTACATAGATGTTGAAAGGAGAAAATATGGAAATCTTCATGCTTTTAAAATTGTTAATGCATAATAAGTGCCAAAAAACACGATATTGAGAAAATTAGTAATTTATGAAGACGCAAGGATGGCAACCAAATATTTCTTAAAGCACATACTTCCTTTCCAGTATTATCTAATCTATGGGAATCGTGAGAGGATAAGTCTAATAAGGTTGAAGACTCAAATCAGATATTTAGGCTCGTCATTAAGCCTAAAAAATATATATAAAAAAGTTGTTGATATCAAATGAGAAAAAAAGGTTGATCATGCTGGGAGGAAGAGAATCAGAAGAGGAAGAGATCATCATCCCCTTAATCTAGATATCATTCCCCAAACCTACTTACGTAATTCACTCTAAAGATATGACAGATATCCCTACCCAAGGCTTAACTATTATGGACATCAATACATTAGAACAAGATGACAGTACAAGAGCTGCAATGAGAAAGGAAAAGATAATTATCCATATTATGACTCTATGAAGACTTTCGTGCAAAAACTAGTAAGTGGTGAAAGGTTTTGAAATTAGATGACCTAAGAGATTCCTATGTGATTTTTGTGTGTTTGTCTTTGTTTTCGCACCAAGATGGTAATTTTAGCTTAAGATGTTAATATATGGTTTTCATTGTAGTAGACTTCATCTCACTTGATATAATTTGATCTAAAAATATCTTTAATATCTTCTAAAAGAATATATCCATTTAATAATAATTATTACAATACATCAATTATAATATAAAATAATTAATTCTAAACTACTATGGTACAAATTAGGTTTGAATTATCATTTTTAATTTTTTGTTTCAGTTTCATTTGTGTCTTTAGATTAATTTTGATGTGTTTTAAGTTGAGATATTAATTTATTAAGTTTCTAAGGATGTTTATTATTTGTTTAAGTAAAAAAAAAATAAAAAAATTTAACCTAAAAAATCTTAACTCAAATTTTTGGTCATGCTCCATTTATTGAAAAATAGCGTTTGCTTCACTCTTTTTAAAAAACAAATATTGATCAAAAAAGGTCAAACATATGGGATTTGCATTTTCTTGATTCTAGAAAATATCTTGTTGATGTTATCACATTGTTTTTTATGCTTAAAATATGTTTTGATTTGATTTGCAACAAGCATAGATCCATTAGCTAGTTCTCTTTATCTAACACATTAAGTTATATCCAAAAAATAGGATAAACATTAAATTATTGTTAAATTAGAATTACATCGAATTAAAATTTTCATTTTTGTTATTATTTTTGTTATTAAATTAATTAGACTTTAATTATTAAATTAGTTATTAAGTTTTATTTTAAATTTTATTTTTACAAAAAAAATAAAAAAGATGGTGTTTTTATTGTATATTACCTCATAAAACATTATTTATTGTATTAGTATTTTGGTTTTTTTCTTGTGCTTTGGGTTTTTTTTTCCGATTACAAATCTTTTTCTTTCAATTTTGTTCTTAAAATTACTTTCAACATTATTTGTTTTTTTTTTTTAGAATTCCATCCTCTAGATATTTTGTTATTGAAGATTGTTTTTACTATCACCATCTCACAAAACAATATTTGTTGTAATAATATTTTGATTTTTTTTTTTGTGTTTTGAGTTTTTTTGATAATTATTTTTTTTGAACTTCATTTTTAAATTGTTTTTATAACTAATTTTTTTTTTAATTTTATCTTCACATGATGTATTATCTTAGATTAGAGATTGATACTTTTTCATGGCATGAAAAAGTATCCTAACTATAAGTTGGTGATTAATTTTGTAAAGTAGATTGTGATTTTATTTGTTAGAAATATTTGAGACTTAGAGGACCATATTGCAATACAAAGGAAACTAAAACTAATTGTTTTTTTGTTTTTTCTGGTTTCTAAACATATCTTTAATAAGTTGTTTGGAATCAATTATATACTGTAATTAATTTAATTCTAGTGTTTGATTTAAATTTAATTAATAAATAAATTGAATATACATATTTGAAAGAAATAAAATTCAAATCATTTTATTTTTTATATTATTTTTATTATATTTATTTTATTTTTTAAAGGTAAAAAAAAAGCCATTAAATAAGTATTTTAAGAAAATTAGTTTTAATATTAAATTTTTTAATTTAAAATTCTAAAAGAGAGAAATTAATCTTATTTACTTTTATGATATTTTTAAATATTAAATTATATTTAAAATTTAATTTTAAAAAGTTACTAACATAAAAGTTCATTAAAATATAAGGTTGCAAACATGTTTTCAGTTAATTATAAGCATTGTTGCTGTGCTCTTTCCAAACCTAAAACAAAACGTCTAGAAAACAAAAACCCTCTCCGGACTAAAGAGCGGAGGAGTCGCAATAGCCGATAGAGAGGGAGAGCGAGCTTTAAAAATAGTAGTCCTATGGAAGAGGATCCAGAGAAGAGATTCCACTCTATTATGGACAAGCTCCTTAACGCTCCTTCTTCGAAATCCCTCTCCAATCCCAGGTTTTCTTTTGCTGTCTTTGCAATTTCCCATTTTATATTAGTTTGTTTGTTTATTGATTGATTTGAATTTTGATTGACAGTTCACCAATATCATGTGGAGCTATACAAATATCATCACCATCAAGAGGCAAAAAACGAGACAATCCTGAGTCTGCATTAGCACTAGTGGAACATGTTTCTTCAGCTGACGCTCCTTTGTGTAGGCCTTGGGACAGGGGAGATCTTATGAGGAGGCTTGCTACTTTTAAGTCTATGACCTGGTTCGCTAAGCCCAAGGTTCATTTTATTCTCATCATCCATTTCACCATTACCCTTTTGGCACATGGGGTTTTTGAGGAATTAATGTTTTCATTGCAATGAATCTAATTAAATGTACCGTGTGGAATCCAATCTCCAAAGGCAATTTTTTTTTTATTTTTTTTAATGACGGGCTTGTACCTAGCCATAAGCTTCCTTTCGCAACATTTTATGCACTATTCTCAGTTCTATATGCGGCACATTAATTAAAATGTTAGACTTTTGAAAATATTCTAGCTAACAACCTATCAGAAGTCAGTTGTTGATAAATCATCATAACAATACTTTTCCTTCAAAGCATTTGCTCTGTTCTTATTATTTAAATCAAGTTGCTAGCATTCTGCAAGATCACTTTGGTTTTTTTTTTTTTCCCGAAATCTCTCAAGAATTTGTACCTCTTCTGTGTTAAAACTGTCTGTTTCCTATTAACGCAAACCCATATTTGGGGTCGGATGGGGTTAGTTCGTTATATTCTACCTTTTGAGTTTAAAATTTGAAATGGCAAGAATTATATGGAGTTATATAGCTTTAGCAATACTTTGAGTTTTCTGAAAGAGAGAAATTAAAAGCCATTTGAGGGGGAAGGATGTACAGTTAAGTTCTTTGAAGGACTTTTGAGTTAAAATTGTACGCCTGTGGATGCTGAACAGATTTTTGCTAATAATGAGGGACTTTTTTTCCTATAGAATAATCTTATTTGTATATTGCTGAGCAGTGGTTTCCCTTGTTTTTGTTAGTGGACGGTGTACTGCCTCAGTGTGTGTGTGTAAAGTTTCCTTATTTGCATGAATTATTTAATTATTTATCAGTGAACTACACATAAGTTGATGAAAATATCCTGCACCCCTCATTGAGGACCATAAATTTTCCATGGCTGTTTTATATCAATGAACTATTTTTCTTTTTCCCCTTTCTTTTGTTTGTTTTTTTCTTGAGCCAGTAAACCTTTTCAAAGTATTGAATTCTAACTCTTTTCCCATCGTTCTTAGGTGGTAAGTGCTGTGAATTGTGCGAGAAGGGGATGGATCAATTTGGATATGGATATCATAGCATGTGAAGCATGTGGAGCTCGTCTCCTATTTTCTACTCCATCATCTTGGTCACAGCAACAAGGCATGTCATGCTTCTTTTTTTTTTTTGCTTCCTTATGCTCTGGCACGTGCACTATGCTCACACCCAACAACTTATTATGTTTGCATCTTAATTTAACTATTTTCCAAATTTTTCAGTTGAGAAGGCAGCATTGGTATTTAGTTTGAAGCTGGATAATGGACACAAACTATTGTGTCCATGGATTGACAATGCCTGTGATGAAAGATTGGCAGAATTTCCTCCCACTCCACCTCAAGTTTTAGTTGATAAGTTCAGAGAACGTTCTTGTGCACTCTTCCGACTTTTAGCTCTTCCACTGATTTCATCTTCAGCTATTGAATACATAAGATGCCCTCAGTTGGAAGAATTTCTTGGACAATCTCCAACCCTGGAATTTGGCAACATGTCTGCCAACCTATCACAAATACAATTCCTTGGAAATGATTGCGATGCTGGTTTTGCCAACTTGTACTATGAGGTTCAGTCCTTTTTGACATTTTGTATTTGATACCTTTTCATGTCAGACCACTTTTTTTAGTTTTCAGTATTTTAATTGCAGTGTTGAATGTGCTATTTTCCTTAGAATATAATATTTGGGCCAAACAATGACTAGGTGCATGTGATAGTTGCTATACATTAACACTATGGCAATGGTTGTTTTCCTTGCGATGGATTTCCTGGTGAATTGTAATAACAATAAGCATTTCCAGGCACATGCGCTCCCTTGTTAATGTTTATTTTCTTGTATTAACTTTTCTGCGTCACGTTTTCATGTCAGCCCACCTTTAAGTTTTCAGTGTTTGATTAGTACAGTGTTTATAGGTTCTATTTTCAGTAGAATATGCAATGTGTGCGAAACATTGATCAGTAAAGTGACAATTTACGGTGCCATGTATTCATGATCAGTGTTTTGGTGGTGATTTTCCTTTTTCTGGAATGTTGATGAGAGTACTGACAATTTTAAGTATTTGCAGGCACAAAAGCTCGTAAGTTTATGTGGCTGGGAACCGCGTGTGCTGCCTTACGTTGTTGACTGCAAGGACAAACCAACACAGCCTGTTAAGGATACTGGCTTCACAGATTCATTCCATATGGTCATCAATGGGCAGAATACAAGTATTCGAGTCCAATCTGTTGCTACTGAGCAAAGCGTTGACACAAATGAAGAATCTGGTTCTTGTAGTGGGCCACATGCTGATTCTAATGCTGTTGTTTTAGATTGCAGGTTCTGTGGGGCAAGTGTGGGACTATGGACATTTTCTATGGTTCCACGTCCTTTAGAGTTGTTTAAATTGGTTGGTTATGCAGAAGTCAATAGTAACAAGAATTCTGGACAAGATTCAGCTAATGAAAATCATGTTGACAATAGTGGAGTCATTGGAAACTCTGCGTCAAATGGTGCATTGTCTTCTATGCATAGACCATCATATTTAAGTTTTACAATTGCTGGGGGTCCACCCCCAACAAAACAGAACTTCAAAGCAACAATTTCATTGCCTGTTATTGGCCGGAATTTAAGGGCCAGGTTTTCTTATGATTCTGATTTTAGGGATCGTACATGTGATAACCATGAAGTTACTCAATCTGGATCTGGAAACAAGAATCTATGTTCAGAGGAACTGGAATCTGCAAAGCTCACTTTTGGTGAACAGGTTTCTCTGCTTGAAGCTACGGGTCTGTTAAAGAGCAAAACACATGACCAGGGGCAGTGTAGTTATTCTAGTGGTGACCAATCTTCTTGTTTGAACTTTGGAATTTGTGAAGGTGGTGCACTTAGAAAAGAGAATAACTCCAAGATGTCTTTGGAAGGGATCAATATCACTAGAGAACCAACATTTCCTGAAACTGCTGGGTATGAATCTGCTGTGGAATGTCTGACTCAGAATGCACCAAATACAGTGCATGGTTATGATGCAACTGATCAGCTGCCTGAAAATTCAAACAATATTGAATGGCATGATTCAGTAGTGGGGGTTTCTAGAGTTTCTCAAGTTAGTGCATCTTCGATTTCTGGCTCTGCTGCCATTTTCCCCATCGGAAGTGGAAAAGGTAGTGAAAGTAACTCCTTAGAGATGATGACTTCATCTATCAATCATGATGAACAAATTCCAGGAGCAGATATTTCAGGCAGCAATGTTGCCTGTCAGATTGGTATGAGAGGAGGTGAAACTTGTTCTGATATCGAAAACACTTTAGCTACTCAAGAAAAAAGCCAAGAAGGCACCACAGGAGTGCAGGTTCCTGTGAACAATGAAGTTGTGGCCTCTGGTACAGGTGCTTAACTATTTGGCTAGGCTTCTCACCCTTTGATTCAGATTATGAGTTGACTGAACATTGATCACACTGGATCTATAGAAGCATTTTGCAAATGAAATATTCGGATATTAAGTTCTTTCTAGAAGTTTTATTGAAGTTTTTGATTAGTAGCTTTTCTTTTGAAGAATGTGTTTTTCCCACTTTGCATCTCCACAAGTTGCAGTTATCATTCAAGTGCTTATCTTTTCTGATTTACATGAGACATTGTCGTTTAATCATGAAGGAAGTTTATTAACCTTGATGCCTTCATGTTCCAGGAAAGGATCCTAAGAAACTGGCATTAGACAAAGCTTTGGGATTTGATCCAATCAGACAGCACAGACATTTTTGCCCCTGGATTATATCATCAAGCAGTGGGGCACCTGGTTGGCAACAAACACTATCTGCTTTAGGGCGTCAGAAAGAGTTTTCTCTTCCTTCTACAAATTCTCCATCTTCCTCCCTGAATAAGGTAATGAAAAATTTTACAACCCTTTTGATGAATCGCTATTGTGCTAACTATGTGTCATGGAAAGGGATGGATAGAAGCATGGTGGAATTTGATATGGCTTGTTGCCAGCTGAGGCACTCCGAGTCTTTTTCAATCTTGTGTCAAAATTCCTCCCCAAATGAATGATATCTTTTTAATTAAAATGGACGTCATCATAAATTCTATTTTGGGTTTGACACATCAGAAATTAACTAGAGTGGTCAGTGAGATGGTTAATAGCTCAAGACTGTTGATGATGGTAACACAGACAAGATATGGAGGGAAGAGAAGATCGATTGTGTCCTGATCCTCCATGTTGTAGATGCTGCCAGAACCAATGCCGCTAATAGTTGGGGTTTATTTTGGTTGAACTGACATATTCAGTAATTATATCTGTAATGGATTATTGCTGACAATTTTGTTTTATAGGTGGATGATCCCATTGCTCTAGTTAGAAAGCTTTTCACGTCCCCTGCGAAAAGAATGAAGCCTACTAGTGGATCAAGCTGAAACAGCCGATGCAGCTAATTAGTTTTGTAGGGCATGGATGTGTTTTCAAAGAGGCTTCTGTTCCTCTGTAAATGGTAGGATGTCGTGTGATGTTTCCTAATGTGTATGCAAATCATGGAAAGAGTTCTGAGTGATAGATTTTGGCGAAATAGGAACACACTTTTAATTGAGTTAAGCTGTGACTTGCCTTAAAACGCTATCATGAGATTTCAGTGAGGAATAGCAATGGAATTTATTCTCAAAATAATAATAATAATAATAAATAAATAAATAAATAAATTGGTGTCCCGTCATTTGATGTGCTAACTACGTGTCATGGAAAGGGATGGATAGAAGCATGGTGGAATTTGATATGGCTTGTTGCCAGCTGAGGCACTCCGAGTCTTTTTCAATCTTGTGTCAAAATTCCTCCCCAAATGAATGATATCTTTTTAATTAAAATGGACGTCATCATAAATTCTATTTTGGGTTTGACACATCAGAAATTAACTAGAGTGGTCAGTGAGATGGTTAATAGCTCAAGACTGTTGATGATGGTAACACAGACAAGATATGGAGGGAAGAGAAGATCGATTGTGTCCTGATCCTCCATGTTGTAGATGCTGCCAGAACCAATGCCGCTAATAGTTGGGGTTTATTTTGGTTGAACTGACATATTCAGTAATTATATCTGTAATGGATTATTGCTGACAATTTTTTGTTTTATAGGTGGATGATCCCATTGCTCTAGTTAGAAAGCTTTTCACGTCCCCTGCGAAAAGAATGAAGCCTACTAGTGGATCAAGCTGAAACAGCCGATGCAGCTAATTAGTTTTGTAGGGCATGGATGTGTTTTCAAAGAGGCTTCTGTTCCTCTGTAAATGGTAGGATGTCGTGTGATGTTTCCTAATGTGTATGCAAATCATGGAAAGAGTTCTGAGTGATAGATTTTGGCGAAATAGGAACACACTTTTAATTGAGTTAAGCTGTGACTTGCCTTAAAACGCTATCATGAGATTTCAGTGAGGAACAGCAATGGAATTTATTCTCAAAATAATAATAATAATAAATAAATAAATAAATAAATAAATAAATTGGTGTCCCTTCATTTGAAAAATAAATCAATAGAAAAGGGTTGCAACGAACATTTGTTGTTGCTCCAAGCCACCATTTGCAACTACCACCTTAGAATACGGCCGGTCAGCCTCTTTCTGCAACGACAGCTCCTTCGCCTCCAATCAGCTTGGCAGCACTGCTCACCAAACAAAACAAAGATAGTGTCTATTTATGATCAACATAATGCCAAGTTATTACCTGTTCAGATTGAAGTACACCATCTTTGCCTTCTCTTACCGAGTTGTCGAACTCACCTGAAGTAAGGAGATGATGCATCCAGCGAGGTCTTCACTTGTCCAATCTTGTCTACAACCTCCATCCCTTCCAATACTCTTCCAGCTATCAGAGATGATGCATCCAGCTCTGGTGAATCCTTGGTGGCTATCACAAACTCTATTGCTCGGATCAATCCCAACTTCTTCTTGATCAATCTCAAGGTTTCCTTGCCTTGCGACTAGCTTCAACTTTTGAGGCGGTTTGGAAGGATCTCTCACAATAATGCTTACAGCTCCAGCCAAAATCTTGATACGTGGACAGGTCTCATATTCCCTGTCATTCATCCATGAGACTTTCAGCTGCCAAGTTGCTTCCTGTTCTCTGTGCAAGCTCAGCATCCACTCCGTATGACCTTAACCCACCATGCTGCTCATAGTTTGGCATGATTTTGATGAATTCTTTTCTTCTGTAACTAATATCAGCAGCTCCACTAACAAGATTGCTAAACACAGCAGGTCCAGCTGGGACATCCTCTCGGTGTAGCCTAATGATAATGCGGCCAACAGGTTCTCCATTAATTGATATTATCAAGAAATGCACGCTTTGTTGTAGTTTTATTGCAGCACTTATGTCTAGCGCTTGTACTGTTTTTTTCTCGTGGATCATTTTCGTTGGAATGTGGCAAGTTTTCTTCGGGTAGCTCTGGACATACTGAATGGCTCTAGGGTTTGAGAATTTAGCAGAAGAAGCAACGACGAGTTGCCAAAAATGGCAAGCTCTCGTCGCGATAATCTGCAACATTGCTTGATTATGGATGAAGGGGAACCGGATTTGTGACGGGTGTGTTGGTGGTAATTGAGGATTGGAATACTTTTGGGTTCGGCAACATTTCGCTTTGACCTTTTTTCTCTAGCTTTGTTTTCTTCACGGCTCTTTTCTGGGATTGGGTCTTTTCTAGTGTGAAGGAAGTTTGTTTCTTCAACTAAATCTTGAGGATAAGAAAGGTATAAGCCCAATCCATCTACAAGATTACAGGAATAAAAATTGATGGCTTTTATGGCACGTAATGCACACAACTTATCTGAACAAAGCCTTGTATGGGACTTTGTTTATGGAGCAGAGATCATATTTTTTTTATTTTTCAAAAAATAAGGGAATAGAGGTAGTGCCCGTTTTAATAGGGTGTCCATGCTTCACTTTCGAGTCCCATCCCATGTCTAATATATATGATGTCTAAGGTATATGTTCAAAATAATTATTTTTTAATTTTAAAAGATATAGTTTAATTGATTATGTTTTAGATTTGTTTTTTAAAAATTATCAATTCGAATATTACAAATCTCAGGATTACTAGAAACTTATATAATTATTAACTTCAAAGTCTATAAGATTAGTGAAGGTACGTGTAAACTAACATGAATACCCATATTAATATAAAAAAACGATAATTATTTTTTTACAAATTTAAGGCTACTAGAAACTTACATGATTATTAACTTCAGGACTTATAATATTCGTCAAGATATATGCAAACCAACCCAAACACCCATATTAATTAAAAAAAAAGATAATAATATTTTATTATATCATAATTAAAAAGATTAATTAAAGATGCTATATTTCTAAATGTTTAGGCTGGATAAGTTATAAACCAACATAATGTTTTTTTTAGAGTAGCACAATAGAGAATATTTTATTGTGCTATTAAAAAAAAATAATCCAACTTCCATTGCACAAAAGGTCTTTCTTTTTTCCTTTCAAAATTCATCTTATTTGCCAATCCATTTTATTTTTTTTCTGTTTTGGCTTTCAAAATTCATCTTATTTACCAATCTATTTTTATCATGGCTACATGGATGTTCTATATAGAAAAAGAAAAATGTTTTAAGTTGTATACCAACTTATGCATCATTTCATACCTTATTATGAATTATCAAGTTTTGCACCTGTAGTTCTCTAAATGTTTACATTCTTAGTAAACTTAAAATTTAAAATAAGTAGAAAAATGAGTCTACCTTTATATAAAATTAGTGATCCAATTCTAAAAGACAAAAGGCTTAATTAATTTTATTAAAGACTTAATTGCAAGGAAAATTAGTTTTTAGAGTCAATTTAGGTGTTAGTTGAAAAAAAAAAAAGTTTAGGACTAAAATTGGGCTTTGAAAAGTTTAATTGGTCAAGTCAAAGGTTTAATTATGAAAAAAATTAAAATTTCATAGTCAATTAAGGGTTTGATAGAAGGAATTCAAAATCAAGGACCAAATTATAAAAAACACGAGACTTCAAGAACTGAAATTTGACCAAATTAGAGGCTAAATTAAAAGCTTGATGGTCAATTAAGGGTCTAAGTGCACAAATTAGAAACCAAAGATCAAGATAGAAATGACACTAAACTTTGAGGCTGATGATTGAGTTTGACATGGGTAAAATTGCATGAAATTAAGAGTTTAAGAGGCAATTACTGGTGCAATTAAAAGTAATTAGAAGAATAAGGATTAAAATAAAATCTATTAGATCCCTGATTAAAAACCCTAATTTCTAGGGGTTTAACCTAGATGACGTGTTATTCACCCACTGTTATATCTTTCTTTGACAATTTTAGATGATTAGATTGGCACATTCTGAGAGCTCATTATAGAGTTCTAGACCTACAAATGGCATGAAGTTTTTGGCAAATAGAAGAAAAACACCCCCCTTTATATAACCCCATTTTTATAAAATTGAATGTTTGCATCTCAATTCTTCCTTAGTTGTTTCCAACGTCTTGTCCTTGATCAACTATCACTAAATTTTTAGATTTTAAACTGATTGAGTTGACATCTTCAAGTAAATGAGTATGAAGCTACAAACTTTCTAATAGAGCAAGGATTGATTTAAATGAAAGGTGTGCATCTCTTCTATTAAGTGCAAGTGGTCTCCAATGATGTTTACATTGGAGTTTCTCTGATGAAGCTTCAAAAGTCTAATTCAATTAGCTTTTGTTGTGATGTCATGATCACACAAATTAATTTTCTTAGCTTAAAACACTACACACAAGATAGTATAAAGTGAACATGGTTTTAGAAAAATACCTATTGATTTTACTTTGAATCTTTTGGAATTTACATAAAATTTATAGAATTCCTTAAGGATTTGACCAATATTTCACTAACTCTAAAATTTTAATTCATGAAAATTAATGGTTACCATCTTAGTATAAATGTTGGACCCATAAATAGACTGATATTTAAATGCTAGAAGTTCATTATAAAATTTTTAAAATTATTTTAGATATTTGTCTATTCTTGTTTTCCAAAAGTGCATTTGGCCCTTAGAATAACTCTTATATTGTGTTTGTTGTGTTCCTAACCATATATAACTTATTACAACATCAAGTTGGTGCTTAACAATAAGATTTACATAAAACAAGGTTTGTTTTCCAATTGCATACTCTCGATTTCAATCTAAAAGGCATTAATATATATATATATATATATATATATATATATATAGAAACAAGTTTA